CTCGGCCCCTGGCTCTGTGCCAGTCTTCTTCAGAGTCAATTGGCGGATCAGCTGGCTGGTACGCAAGCTGGCCCCTCGTGCGGCGCGGCAACGGCGCAGAAATGCGATTTCTTAGGTCTGAAGAATTGGGCGCAGAAGACATGCGCTCCGCGGTTTTGTGTGATCCACCCACATAGTCGGAACGCATTTTGGAGGGTTTATCGGCACCAAGAAACGCATCAAGGTCATCATCCAACTGGCTTCGCACAGTTGAATCATCTCTCCTTCTTCTCTTCTGTAATGCTTCCCCTCCCTCATCCTCTTTTCCGGCGGTTTCTCCATACTTCTTATAGAATTTGCTTTCCCTTTTTGCGCCCTTCTTCTTTACGTCATCATCTTTAGCCCAACGCATGCGTATGATACCTTTCAGTCCTTGACCTTTACCCAGGCTCTTCGTTATTCGCTCTTCTGGCGGCCATAAGGTAATTGGAATGGGTTTTGCTGTGACGAAGCCGTCTGCATCCATATCCTCTGTGGCAGATTTTTGGAGGTACCGATGTGCAGTACGCGCAGAGGCAGTTGATTCATAAACGAGGATGCAACTATTGTCGTCGAGCCATTCAAGGCCTATAGGGTGCGTATCGAAATGGGTAACATATGCAAAGATGCGAGCAGTGGGCAGGTGGGAAATGGGGGTGCCGGTGAGCAGCAGAGCATTTGCTCTTAGACTCGACGTTGTTTCTGATGGCAGCAGAGGGTAAGTTGCATGACAAATAATAAAGCTAAACGTTCGTCTTCACCTTCTTCCATATCTATGTCATCATCATCGTCCCCTTCTGTGCGCTTGCGCTTCAGGGTCAAACAGGGACAGACTCCCGTGTCAGAGTCACTTTCTGAAAACTGCAATGGACATACTATTAGCGCACCTTGGCAATTCTTGCCTGGGCAGTGTCAGAGAGAAGGTACACTTTGGTGTTCCCTATGCGATTGAGCAATGTAGCTCGCTCTGGATCACTGGATGAATGAGTAGGAACTTGTGATTCATAGGGAACGGATTCATCGTATGACAATGTAGTAAGCTCTGGAGCAGAGACCCCGTCAGGAAGATTGTCCATGGTGTTTGAAACAAAACTAGTTGCTATGAGCCGAACTTCAGGATGCTAATACACGAGGCAATGGGCATACACCACACCTGTTACCAAATTGGGTAATTTTTTGGGCCGGCGGTAGTGCCAAGCCTGATATACTTAAAACATGTTCGAATGAATCTATATCCAAGGGTATAAGAACCTGTGATTATTTTCAACAGAACGTGCAAGACACGGCCGGCAAACGGCCGGTGGGTGTAGCCGCTGAACAAGGCGATACTATGCCACTATCCGATTCCGAATTCCCGACCGTCGACCAGTGTACTGGTGCTGCACTGCCGCGTTTCCAGTGTCTAACTAGACGTATCACCGAAACAGTTGATTTTGTCCCCTTGGCCTCTGATCTTGATCAACGCCATGGAGTAAATGGACTACATAGTATCCTGGAACATCGCCCTTTCCGCTCATTGCCGCTCAGTTTACCGCCCTTGCTGGGTACAGTGGATTAGTGATGGATGATTGATCATTGGGGAGGTGGTAGGCTATACAGTATAACAGCAACATCAAACCGTTAACGTTCCTGTCAATCTCAAGTCTCAACACCCCTTCCTCTCATTATATCGTCTTTCTAATGTATATTACTGACTTGGAAGCGCAGCAGGTGTGAGTGATAAATCCATTGGTTTACTATGTATGCTGATCGCGAACTAACACTCCAATTTGCCAGGTCGGTGTACCTGTACATCCTTTTCGCATCAATCAGTACTACGACTTTTTATCTTGATTCTCAAGATGATAACTGAATACTTTAGGTCTCCTTATATACGACCACATGGCAACCCTCCCAGAAGAAATCATGTTTATCTGGTGTCGTCCGAAAGCAACGTCTGCAGTGCTATTTCTCGTCAATCGCTATCTCGCCGTGCTCGGAAATATCGTTGCCCTAATTAGCAATTTCCTACCCGTTTCACCTAAGGTGCTACATTAATGTTGTGCGTGTATTCGACTGGCAGGCTCACTTTATCCCCGCAGAGGTTTTAACTTTATTCTCTTGAATATCTATGATTTTGCTCAACAAAGACTTAGCTGTTCGAAGTACTTGCTAGTCGTAGACGTGTTACGTTTTTTACAGCAAATTTTTATTTGTCGTGAGTTAGAAGTTTATCGCGAGAAAGGGACGCTGAATGTTTCAAATTTTCAGTCACGCTGTCTCTTCGCACTTATGCTCTCTACGGCCGCAGCAGGCGTCTGCTTATATGGATGGGGATCATCGCCCTTGTTCTTATAGCAGGAGGGTTAGTACGTGTTCACGAAGAATTTTGGACTTGAGAGTCTGCTGAACTTCAAGTTTTAGGCGGGAACTTTTGGAGATGACTCAGACGCTGGGGTCGACGCCGGCGACTGCCATGAAATATACACGACAGCAACGTATGTCATTCCCTTCGTCATTCCACACGTCTGCTCAAAAGTCCTGCCAGAACTGTCCGTCAGTGCATTCCAAGTCATATCTGGATGTATATTGATGGTGCTACGGAATTATCCAATCGCAGGTCATGGGATGGCATGGATGGCAATGTTTATCTACGAATTACTCATCTTTGTCCTCACAGTCTTCAGGGCCTGGAAAACTAGAGGATTGCGGTCCTCCCTAATATCCAGGAGAGATATCCTTGATGTCATATTCCAAGATGGTATTTTTCGTCGCATTGGTATTGTAAACACTGAACCAACCGAGCGCAGGTGTGATGTACTTCGTGTGAGAGTGCTAGCGAAACTGTGCGAGTGAAGCTGATCCGCTTTCTCTCAGAGGAATGACATTAGTCAATTTACCCAACATTCTGACGTACTTTGTAAGTCAGCGTATGAAGTATAGTTCAGTCGCACGCTCACACCATGATTTAGTGTGGTCCAGTGAGCATACCCGCATGTTTCACCAGGTTGACTATTTCCTGACGATTTGCAAGGAAATCATCAGAGGCAGCCTGGGTACATTTACTACTTGGTGAGTAGTTGATGGGATAAACACAGAACGACCCTAATCATGATCCTAATCATGATCTGCAGCATGTCTGTCACTCTCATCTCTCGCCTGATGCTCAACCTGCACGGATGTGTCGACACTGGTATTTTTTCTACCTCTGCCGAGACCAGCCCCGATGTCCTTAGCACCAGGGTCGACGTAGAGTTTTCGGTTTCCTCGGACCATTGGTAGGCTGGTACTGGATCTTGTTCGTGGATGGAAGTGTCGTTGAAAGTTAAAAACTGTTCTTTTAGTCCTTTTCTTGAACGCAGCATGGTATGCGTGCTCGATATCTATGTAGAAACAGCTCATTTAATGTGTGTAGCAACGACCTGTTACCATTCTGAAGTAGATTGGCTCCCAATAGGGCCGAATCCCTGAACACGTCAATTACTAATCACTGGCAAAGCCTTTTCCTGATTTGACCACTATCGTGTACGTTCTATACCTTATTGCAGAGTGTCCTCGCCTTAATCCTTGCTGTATGGATACTATTAGTATCTGAAGGTTATTCGAGGGTTCGGGCAGCTGACTGGGGCTCTATACAACGAGGATCAGGACGAGGAATAAGCATTCATGGGGAGTGTCATATCCGTTTTGATATCATTGAAGATGGGCATCTACAAGTTGATAGACACCAGCACTGCGGGAAGCGCGAAGGTCCTCTCATGTCTCATGGCCGAGGTGTTCCAAAACCTTTTTGCACGCAAGATCGAGTAGGACGCGAACATGCAAAGGCACTAGTAACCTGAGAAAATTGTTGTCAGGGTTGGTGACCGGAAAGAGGGATGACTTCTCCCAGTGCTTCAACGCGTCTGTTTCCCGCCGCACCTGGATCATCGCGAACGCTTGCAAGATTACTGTTGAAACTCTCGTTCTCGTTGCGAATACTCTCATTCTCCCCCTAAATCTCCGCAATCTCGTTTTGCTGCATCTCCTTGAACTAGTTACCTGAGGGAGATTTGGTCACTGATACAGCATTTCGTTTCTTGGATTTCTGAGCTGCGGAAAATAAGTCAACGCATCTGTAGACTATTCGGATGTCTGATTTGCTTGTGTCTTCTGGACTAATTGGGTCTTGATACAACAATTTGTCTCGGCATCGGCATCCGGAGTGAATAGAACCGTCGAAGTATCCTGGTCCAAATGCAACTTAGTTAGAACTTGGTTGCAGATGTGACATTCAACGAAGAAGTAGACAACAATCAAACAGTGATGGTGCTGGCTGAGTGAGAACCTTGAAAGCCGCGTTGAGTTTTAACAGGATGAATCATTTATCAAACCTCGATCCACCGCGGAACCTCTGTTTTGAATTAACAAGTACGTGAAGTCCACAATTTTGCTAGGGGCAAATCACCATAAGGAAATCGGAGAGCGCTTCTGCCCGGTAACATGCCAGAAGTACTGAAAGTAATGTAGTATTCGCTGCATCGTATTAAAGAGGTGGGGAGCCACGCAATTAGACTGCATTGAATTCGGCGATCCATTACAGGAAGGGGGAATACAGTAAGCATGCAAGTCCTCACTTCGCGAGCGCGTTGCCCCTGTGCAATGTCAATAAGAGTTACTCAACATCAATGTTGCACATACCTATTGACCATAGCCTGTTTGTGTGCCAGCTCCTTGTCACCAATAGCTTTGCTGTCTCCATTAACAACAGCAATAATCTCTCGGGCTAAACGCTCCTCTACCGTCTTGCCACTTTTGTTTTTGCTAGCAGCCAATACAGCATGAATACCCGCCCTTATGCGCTGTTTTTCCGTAAGTGCAGCAGGTCTCACAACGTTCTTTCCTGAGCGCTTCTGTGATATGCACTTGACAGCAGGGGAAGCAGTGATGAGAGCATGGCGGAGGATAGGTAGCGGCGGCGCGCGGGTAAGAGCGTGAATATAAAGAAGTGTGCGGGAGACGACGCGGTCTGCCCTTGCACGTTTTCCGTGGTTAAGCAGGGAAGATGCGAGGAAATGGAGAAGGGGGTCGGATGCTGGCGGAATGAGCATTTGTGAAGGGTCTGGAGTTGAATTCTGGATTGGGGGCGTGGGGGGAGATAATATGTCTGACAGCGATGAAGTCTTCAAGTCGAGGGTTGATGAAGACCCCATTATAGAGTCAAGTAACGCTACACTCTGGTTGACTGTTCGTTCATCAGTAGTAGAACTGTTAGCACGGCGAGCAAGGACTGGAAGCGCGTATCTCAGCGCGACAAAGGATGGAGGTATGCGTTGAGGACATGATAGCAACGAGCACCTCGACGCGTTAAACGTTGCCACTGGGCGCATCGTCACGAATGTTCACGAAGAGAGCCAAAAGCAAAGAATCCAATGTGCGACCGACGTAGACAAACAGCAGCAAACCGACGACGCTGCTTCCGACGCTTTCGACACCATTTTTCATGCCCATTCTCGGAAGTGGGCTTTGCAGACAGAATGTCTTATTACTTCAACGACTGAGGGATGTTCCTCTTACTGGTAAGAACTTATATTGTTTGTCGCTCCGAGTCCATACCAACAAAATTTTGTTAGCGCATAGGACGTTCCGAGCGCGTACGGGAAGGCGAACATTTACTGTTCTTGGCTTCGAGAGCTCAGCGGATGACACCTGTGCAGCTGTCGTGACATCCTCGCGTCAAATACTTTCAAATGTTGTTGTGAAGCAGCATGATCTGTGAGTCCCTTCTGTGTCCAGCGTATGTTTGTTTAACCCCAAATCAATCAGCCACGAAGGTTTCGGCGGTATTCATCCATCTGTAGCCATTGAAGCACATCAGCGTAACATGGTGAATGCGTTCCTTTCTCTCTAATCGTTTGCTTTGACCTAAGTCTTTAGCCGGGTGCTGTCAGAATAGCTCTCGAACAGGCATGTATTAGCATTCACGACATCGACGGGATTGCATTTACGCGAGGTCCAGGTATCTGTGCATTCTCTTCAATCTGCATCAAACGTTCCTAACCTATAAGTTGTCTGTAGGAATTGGAGGCTGCCTTAGTGTGGGCTCGAATGCTGCAAAGTCCCTCGCCGCCGCCCTCGGCAAGCCTCTCGTCGGTGTCCACCACATGGTTCGTTCGCACATACACTTTCTTTTGAGCACTACACTCATTCATTCAATTTCAGCAAGCACACGCCTTGACCCCCCTGCTCACGACTCCAACCGCAGATCTCCCACAGTTTCCTTTCTTGACACTGCTCATCTCTGGAGGCCATACGCTTCTACTTTTAGCTTCATCTCTTACCTCATTCCAGATCCTTGCAACAACAGCAGATACGAGTATTGGACGCGCGTTTGACAAGACAGCCCGAGCACTTGGCCTGTCTTGGGGAACCAGAGGCCCTGGTGCAGCACTCGAGGAGCTATGCCGCGTGACAAACGATGAACTGGAATCCCTACCCGACATCCAACCGTTCACTGTGCCAATGCCAGGAAAACTTGCCTTTTCCTTTGCATCCCTACAATCTTCAGTAGAGCGCTACATTTCTCTCGTGGAAGAACCTCTATCCAGTTCACATAAAATTGCTTTGGCTCGTGCGTTCCAGACAGCCGCAGCCCGTCAACTCTGTGCCAAGCTTACGTTGAGCCTTCACAAACTCGAGCTGAAAAACGTGATCGTCAGGGATGTTGTCGTTAGCGGTGGGGTTGCCAGCAACATGTTTTTACGCGAAAAGTGAGTCTTGAAAGCTCTGTTTGCCTTCTTATGCTAAGCTTCGGTAGACTTCGGGCAGCGTTGGATGAGTACAGCTCTGATGAGCGCATATCGCTCCATTTCCCCCCGCTGGAATTGTGCACAGGTCAGTGCTTCAATACGCCGATTGATTCACAGCGTTTGAAATTCAATACAGACAATGCGGCGATGATTGCATGGGCTTCGATGCATCGGTTCCTCGCTGGTGACTATGACGAGTACACGGTAGACCTTCGTGCCAAGTGGAGCATCGAGGATATTAGAATATGAAGCGTTTTGCAAATATGACCAGTTGCATGCTCTTCCTCGATGTATTCGATAATACAATGACTACTAGTGGAGGAGGATGTTAGTCAGACACAAAGCGAACAACTTTGTCTACAACAATTTATGCGTAGCTTGGTAGCGTAAGACACGGCGTATTGGACAACGTGGCAAATGGCAAGTCCACTAGCGGTGTGCGCGAGATTCCCGTTGATTCTAAGCGCATGGAAACTCACGTATGCCAAATGAATTAGTAGTTCCTCTTGGTTCTAGGTAGTACTTAGTGATATATAAAACCCACAGATGGAGGTATAACGGACTATGTAGATTCTTGTTCCTGTACAATAATCTAATACAATGAAGAGGCGGATGATACATAATACATGCATACTTGATACATCAAACTGATAAGAAATTCATCTTCATCGTCACTTCAATGGGCCGATATGGCTGAAGTGTGATAATCAGCACTCTTTCATCGCGAATAACGCGGCTACTTACCGAGGTAGATCGAGTAAGATGGACCATAACATCATCGCCAGGATGTTTGAAATGCTTTCCAAAGATTCCTAGGATTCCTCGTCTTCGGACGCCATAACGTTCGGCTCTGCCAGTGGGCGGTAGATGTTGGGGCGCACATGGACTTCCGCAGGACGGTCAGTTTCTGTAGCGGGCTCCAAGTAGTATCGCGCGTTCAGAAGTGCGAGGAACGAGTTGACGTATACTGAAAAGCGATCAGTGGTCAGCACGACATTCTGAGAATGCCTTGGGTCATACGTTTAGCGACTAAAAAGTCAATGCCGATGAAGATGAAGTTGTGCGGCATCACTGCGCACTGTAGGGACTTCAGAGACGAGATGGACGCGGGAGTACAATCATTAGAAGCTTACTGTAATTATGACTGACAGTGAACACACGCTACATGAAGTATCAGTCAAAATGTGGGCTAGTCTGAAAGGAGGAATACCTCGTCAGACAGCCTGTGTTAATAATATAAGCCATGAGCCTTGTTATCAGAGAATCGGTGCTAAGTACTCCATGTTGGTATGTCAAATCCCTTGGCGTGAATAGACCGCTCCTCACTTGGAAAATCCAGTACGGGAACTAGCGAGGAGATAGCACAGCGATGATGCTATCACGAAATCGACGAAAGTAATCGTGCCCAAAGCCAAAAATATTGCCCACTCGATTTTAATCAGATCCGAGAACATATGACACTGATATCTACTCGCTATCAGCAATTCATATAGTCAGAGAGTACGTTGTTTTACTCACATGGCCCAAGTAAGGGCTGTCATTGGATTACAAAAATGAGCTGACCATTGTCAAAGTACCGAGTTTTTGGACTCTTACCGATGCCAACACCTGAAGAATTTTTCAATACCCAGTGAAGAGGAATATCAAATGACAAACTCACCTGAACTCGAAATTACGATTACGCCCTAATATTGCATCGTTAAAATCAATGCCATGATACGCGATCATCGATTGAAACCTACCACTGCTATAGGGAGGACTCTTGATCGGCCCTTGGCGACTGATACATCGCATTAGTCGTAGAGATTCATTAGATAGATGAGGGAACACTTACATATCCATATGCGATGAAAATACAGACTGCGAATCGATAAAAGCATCACATGAATCCTTCAAGTTGTGGACAACAGTACATTTCTGACTCACAGATGTACCCCGTAGATGATTACAACCTGCAATGGATATGTAGGCGATTGCAGTGCATAGAAAAACCACTCACATCGATGACTATTTGAAGCTGCACGAGTCCATCAGCATCATAGTAAAGGCCGCACGGAGGTCTCAACAAACTCACTTTGAAGCTCCACACCATTTCTGTGAGTATACTGATGTCTGCGTAGTGGACCACCAAATAGTAATAGACGCAGTGGACTATCAAGAACAGGTGCAGAGTGTCGAATATCCTAAAATTTCAGGGAAGGGCGTAAACTCGCCGCGCTCGACAATGGCGACTGGAGAGTGCATACCAAAGCCAGACGACCTGATGTCGTATCAACAACTGGACCGAGAGATGGAAGCATCAACGTACGGCTAACTTAGGGAACAATACCTTCGTGCCCTTGTGTGACTGAAAGTAGACGAAAGCTTGAATGTTACTTAGACCAAAGAGACTGTTCCGTGAGACATGTTAGGACGACAGGACTCAATGAAGCACTAAATTTCGTGAGCAGATAGGTTACTGACATTGCTGCAAAGATGACCCCAATAAACAGCGCTCCGAACGTGGTCCCGAAGTAAACTCGTGGGATGAGGTCCTGCGTTGAGGAAGACATTAATGTTGACTGAGGCTTAAGCCCATTCCAAGCAAAGCAATGTTTGGGCCGTACTATATATCCCGCAGCCACGAGAGGACACGAGGCCGGCGGATGGCATGGATCTAGATCTGTTATATGCTTCGGACTGTGCAGCTTTGTGCAGATAAGTGTGTGAATTGGAGAATGTACTACGGAGCATACCTTTCAATATGATGAAACAGTCTCGTACAGCACCTGACGCCTGAAGGAAGATGCAACACTGCCTAGGAAGTTCGTACATTCAAGACATTCTCGCGAAAAGTAGCTTTGACACTGCTCAACGAAAGTAGAATAGCGTGGGACTTCTTAACAAAGTCGCGATATGCTGCAATCATAACACACAAGGGATAGCAGCGCATTCCTCTCAATGTTGTTGATTGTTCTCGTTCTTCATTAAAATTAAGATGCTATCTCAGATTATCCACGGCCTTCTCGTGAGAAGTAGCTTGGCCCTGCACAAAAAATGTAGGATGGCATTATACAGTACACCATAAAGTCGTGACACGGCGCCATCACAGTACACAAGGGATCGCAGCATACTCCCCTTGACGTTGTAAACTGTTCTCGTTCTGTCTTATTTTGGCGGGCTTTCCAAGGCTTTTTAGGGTCTCCTCAACAAACGGCCGGGCAAAGTCTAGATCTCTACTATTAGCGTCCAAGAGGCATAGTTCACTACTACATCATATTTGCACCGTTGGAGAGTCCATCTCTTCGATAGAACCATTGGTACTTTCCTGTATTGCCTGGCCTATATACCAATACATCAGATATCGACAAAACTGTCCGAGTTCACCGTGATGATCCGAGTCATCATGGCTGCTTTCGGGATATGCTGCTGGTTTACTGTCACGGTAGTACTGTGACAACTCAAACATCAATTTGAACGGTGTCCAAGTAAGTTAACGGCTGGCACCCCTGGTTATTATGAAGTAGATAAATGTCAGTATGTTGCTCCACGAGCCACTGTGACAAGCTCTCCCTCGCGTAAGCTTTGCTGGATCGCATCTTTACAAGTAGATGTCTAAGTCAAAACGTTTTGATTCCGTGAATTTCCCATCTGGTCCGGTCCAGTAAGCTAATAATATGACCGTGTAGTCGCCAGCTTTGCAAGATGAATTTGCAAGATGAAGAAAATAAACCGCGTTTCCCTCGAGGTAAAAGGTCGACCGTACGAGCAAGATAAGCGGCAATACGCGCATGCCCATATGTATGAGGCCCAGAATGAGCCACCACTTCTTTCTGACTTAGTTCTGATATATGCTCGCCCTGCGACCCCACTGTTGTGACGTTCAGCGAGATATCCCTAGTGCTCCGCGTGGTGAGTATGACTTGTGTCTTGTTGCGTCTGTCAGCACTTGTACTTGTGCTGGACCGTTTGTCGATACTTGTACTAGTATTGTGCACCCGCAGGTGATATTGCGGATTCACCATATACGTCGGATGCGTGCAATTACCCCCAGCCGTTTTATTATTCCACACGCTGTCAATCTGGCATCATCAGCATTTTTGATCAAGTGGAACGAATGAGAGGACCTTCTGCATATCCCTCGTTGGGGGATCCCTCGTATTCCAAGACACCATCACATCCGACGAATAGGCATACTGCAGTGACCGTGAATCCGACTTGTCCAAATTGACCGTCGTAGCAGGCTAATATGGAGAGTAAGCCTGAAGTCTGATATGGGTGTCTCACTCGTGCTAGGGTGACCACCGTTGAGGCCAGGAATCGTACCAAGGGCATTGGGTATACAAGAAGCAAAACCCTGGTGTCGAGATGTCAGCACCCTCAGACGCAGCAATGCGAGGAAGCAGTGTCGTTCTCACAGCTGAGTCAATGTGAGCGCTAGAATGAAATGAGTTAAGGATACCTATTCGTGGTGTGGCGACAGACCTTCCCAACAGTGCACCATCATTCTCAACCATGATCTTGAGCAACTTGACTAGAATCAATTTCCCTTCAGTACGCTGCTTCTCGGTTCCATCTGACATATACGTCGTCGCACGTGTAAGTTCTTCAATCCGATCCTCCAGATACTTGACGATGCGTGCTTTCTTCGTTTTCACTTGAGATGACGCCCCAGTGCGCACGATACTGACAGGTGTACCAGGGTCAGAAAACAAAGGACCAGGATAAGCAGCGGCAGAAGGTTCAAGCACAAATTCGGGGAGAAGTTTGTGCAACACGCGTACACGCACATCCGTCGAGTGACGAGATGAACAGAGTAACATCATATCCTGTGATAAGGTCAGGGGAGCTGTGGAAGCATGTAACCATCTTGCCACCAAAACCAAAACTGATCACTGGGGCTCGCGAAGATGTACGACCCAAAGGATCGTTTGAGCCTAAGAGAGAAGGGGAGGGTGCATATGGAGGGCGAAACGTGGATGAAATAAGAAGCTCCTGACTGTACGCAGACACCGCACCGTACGGGCTTGGTTCACCGGGACGAGGCTTGGGAACTAACCCATTAACTTCGCGCTGAGGGGGGATTCCCATGGGCATGGATGCCGTGGAATGCAAAGATCCATTGGAGCCTGAATGATCACGATATTCAGGGCTGCATCAGAGCCACAGCATCCTTCGCAAGTGCATATGGATCAGGGGCTGGAGAGGCCTGACACGAATTATGGAAGGGGGATGAAGTCCTCTCATACGTGACATGCGATCTAGGCTCGTAATTGTTCGCCGCAACTGGAACTGTCGAGTTGTAGGCACTCTTAACAGATCCTGCATGGCTCGTGAACGAGCGAACAGAACTAGGAGATGTTGCTCTGTTGGGCGAAGCATAGTGTGACGGCTCATATGTAGAGGGCGGACGGGGAGGACCAGGATACACATCCTGTTCACCGGAATTGAAAGCGTTGCGCAAAGGAGAGGAAACCCTCTTTACCAGGACTACGCAGGGATGACACATTTGAACCATTGGATCCATCTCTGGAATGAGAAGGAGACCGCCGTAGCACTGAGCCTCGCATCATCATCGTGTCTTGGTGTTGATGCACCTTGCCTCTAGACTGGGGATGAAGGTGGGCTGCTATGCAGCTGTGTGGAACCATTCAAACTAGCATACTCTGCAGGAAGTGGAAGCGTGTAGGGATCTCGAACGGCATGCAAAGAAGAGGATGTTGCCTCGGTATCCGTCTGCAAACTTTCCGGATCGTCCCAAGGCATATCATCAGATGTGTAGGCACGACTCTCTGAGTGACTTGGTAGTGGATATGTCTCAGTGGCAGGAGAGATAACACGTTGGATGACATCCGCAAATGAGCTAGATGAACCCTGTTTAGGAGTAGGTGCCTCGTCAAGTAATTCCTGCTCATAAGAGTTTTGTGGGGGTGTCGGGGGATTCGCGTGTACAGGAGGGGCAGCCAATGGGGATGTACGAGCGCCTGCTTGAGATAAACTATGTTGCGTGTAATGATTGCCAATAGTCGGTTGTGGAAGCTGCTGTAGAAGCTTGGGTGGCGAGGTAACACCCAAAGCGCCTGTAAGCTGACGTGTCACTTGCGCTCGTGGAGGTGGATGGGAAACTGGAGGTTGTGCCACATTACCGGAAAGGCTGCCATACCAAGTACTATTAGAAGGGGGAGGGGGAGGGGGAGGCACAGCGGGTACAGGGGGTACAGGAGGGATTTGCGAGGGCTGGCCATACGAGGTATAAGGTCCCAATGATGGTGCGCGTGCGCTCACAGCACGCTTTGGCACCTTCGGAGGAGGAAGAGGGGGGTCATACGCATTCGACTTCTGTGGACGATAAGATGCAGCCGACATCGCAGGAGGAACTTGAGCAGGAGGAGGAGGGATGCTGGGAGAAGCTGGCTTAGGAGGTGCAGCATGCGCAAACGACGAATAAGGTTGAGAAACCGAGCGTGTCATAGGGTTATACGGCTCGTATGTTGTCTGAGAGTCGGTTGTCTGAGAGTCGGCAGGTGCAGCAAGTGGTTGTGACGCGCGAGTGGGTGCGATGTTAACGGTGGGTTTGTAATGATCGTAGCTGCCGTGGACCGGCACATATGGTTGGCTTGGATATTGACTCCCGCCGCATTGCGAGGAATTGGCAGTTGGGTCCGGTGTGTACTGGTGATAAGCACTTGCTGTACCGCTAACATTATGACCTCCTTGCACTGCAGGGAATTAACACTGCAGATGCAGCAAATTTACACAGCCGACACACCTGGTTGTTGGACATACGAGACCTGCGGTTGAGTCGTGGAGTAACCAGGCGCAGAGGACCACTCTTGAGACTGTTCGTAACCGGCAGCAGAGTATTGCGAGCTGTCAGGAGCCTGGTTCAGGAACACTGGTATCGTGGTCCACAGCAACTGACCAGGGATCTTGTTCAAAAGGCTGAGTGCCCTTGGGAATGTCTTCAGCGAACAAGCTGGAAGCGTCCATGTCAGATGGATAAGAAGCAGACTCGTGCTGTCCATATTCATGTACCGCCAACCCGGCAGGTGGTGTCGTGTCAGTCTCCTCGTTGCCAATAACCGAAAACGGATCCGGCCCAACATCACCATCTGAACCAAATAACGAAGCCGCAGCTTCCACAGTACTCATGTTTGCAACGTTTCCGTCAAACAGGCCAGTAGAATTCGGAATGCAAATATCATACTGAATGAGTGTAAAGAGTGTGCAATTAATAATGTTGATTGCGTGGATAATCGTGGTGTGAGTGATTGCGGAATGAGGGAAAAATTACTAGTCATGGTAAGCGTCCGATCTGGAAACTACGTACTTATTCACGGTAGCGTATTCCTCACAGTAGTCCCAGAGCCCATGGTGTGAAGGTTTTCCTCCAACCCTTCTTCAATCGAGGCAGATTAGCTGGCGGAATCCGACACTTTAGAAACAGAGGAGTGGCGGCTTGTACGAGTTTAACTCCAAAGCTCAAGAGTTGGTCACAGGTCTCTATCGTGACCTGTGACCTGTGACCGCCTGATCAGATGATCTCAGTCCTCATATTTACCCATCTTGTGCAGTGATGGTACTGTGACTTTCTCCTACATTCAATCTGAAGTTGAAGACCTTCTAATTTGAAAATAAATTCAATTCGAGTAATAGAATGTGATTGGAAGGAAGTTTTAGAAAGAGAGATGATCCTCGAACTCGTCCTCATCGTCATGCCCCTCGCTGTCCGATGTTCCCTCTAAGTCCCCTTCTTCACTAATGTCATCGTCGAGTTCTTCCTCTTCGTCGAATTCTTCCTCTTCGTCGAGTTCTTCCTCTTCATCGAGTTCTTCATCATCCTCATCACCGATGTCCTCTTGTTCATCTTCGCCAGCGTCCATATCCTCCTCGCCATCTACAACTTGAACATCCATGGCTTCGGTCCTTACAGTTGAATCTACCATACCAAGAGCATCCCATGTGATTCTCCGAATCATGGCTGAATGACCGATACCAAAGTGAGTATAGCGAATGAACATGTCTCTATCAACGAATCTAGATGAAAAGCTTCGTCAGGATTAATGCAAGGGCAAGTAAGGTTCACACTTACATCCCGACATAGTGTTCCTCCCAATTGTCTAGCTCCCCCCGAGGACGTGCCAGTGAATTCCCGTAGCGGAGCGAACTTATACCACGTCCAGATGCAAATGCCGGAATCAAATGCGCCCCTCTGATGACTTGCCCTGGATCGAGGAAGCCAAATGCATCTGGGTCCGATGTAGAGACTCATGCCTCTCATTGTGCAATATGGCAGTTTTCACTGGGGAGTACATGGCATGAACTTGTAGCATCACTCTGTGTGCTACCTGCAGCTATCTCTATATGAGGCGCAGCTTTCCCGCGCAACGCGCGCCATGCGCGCGTACCTTTCCCGCGCTTCACGATGTATATGCGCACGCGCTTTCCCGCGCTTGAGCACCCTATAGCGCCAGCCATCCGGAAGCATCCATCCACTGTCCACCAAGTTCCCTAGTGCGTATATTTCCATTCTCACATTTGCTTATCGTTCCATCTTTATTTTTATCATGGACCCTTACTTACATATATCTTTACATACCTTACTCGGTAGCGCTTCGGCTCCGCATGACAGCGCTTAGGCGCCATACTTAAGCGCCAGCAGTACATACTATGACACACTCACTTACTCTCCCACCAGAACGACAGAGGACTTACTGGTTACTACCCACTATTTACCTAGCAGAACATAGTAGAAATCTATTTGTTTACACCTTGCATCTCCCTTCTCTTGTCTTACATCATATCATCACCTAAGCAAACTCACTCTTACTCTCTCTTGTATCTGTACACACGCGCACGCTTTCCCACGCTCCGCGCCATACACGCGCGCATTCCCGCGCCTTGCGCGCACCTGCGCTTTCTCGCGCTTCGCATTGGCCAACCAGTAGCGCTTTCAGCGCATACCTCTAGATCCTTGCTGCACTCGCTTCCCCTTTAGGGTTGAACGCACTTGTCGTCTCAAGTATAGCAGACTAGGCAACGCTCGACCTTACAACAATTATAGATACAGTCAGGAGCACTGTTCGTGCCTCGCTGTATCGTTGAACCTTCACCGATTCTTCCACGAATGCAAGCTTCGGAAGGCGAGCATGGTTCATGCCAGATTTATGGGTCCGCAGAGGTGCCAGCCATCTAACCCATAGAACGTCCAAGTGCCGCTTCACAGGTGGATGCTCGTCTTTAATCCATACCTCCATATGATAAATGCGTAATACTCGGGCATACCAGTATGGGTGCCTAGGGTTCCTCTCCCCTGACAGCACCATAACATCCCTGTGAGTTCAGGGATTGATGACGTCATACTCACGCCTCAAGTCATAGGTGGTGTAATGCACCTGCATCGTTTGCACTGAGTACATCACATTGTTTGGGATGATCACCGAGTTACGTTCCTGGTCAGTGAAGACATGATCGCAATAACTAACGTTGAGCTTCTGCAGCCTATAGAGGACATGGTCCTTTAATTTTGGTATAGTTTCCTGACAATCAATGTGAGCAAGGTGTAGGCGTGTCCAACGTAACTTCTACCTTGACAGCTGGATCACCCTCGTGTTCCTGGATAAACGTGATTATTTGTACTGCGTTGTTCCGATTTGTCGCAATATAATGATGCTTTTCTGGGGACATTGAACAGGAGGTGTTGGCTCCTGATTGATTGCCAGAGGACGAGGTGCCTCCTACTGCTGCCTGCCGCAAAACCCAACACCTACGTTCATGCTTTGCCAGCTGCGCTGGAGTATCTAATTTGTTAGTCAGCGGATAAAACGCCTTCAGGGCTCTGTGAGCGAGCTCTCCCTAGGTCAACTTAACTTCAGATACGTAGTGGAAATGCCAACGGTACGTACAATCTGAGTGGTGAAGGAATCTGTAGTGCCAAAGAACCAGATGGTTCTCACATAATCTCCCATTGCATGGAATTTATAGGTACCTAAATTAAACTTCTTCGGCCTAGCCCCACTCGATTCAGCTGACGTTGTGTTAGCTTCAGGATGTTGAGCAGCCTTTCATTGGCATGCTGCTCTCTCCCTGGGTAATTCCATGGTGTTGAATGCCGTGCAGGTATAGCGTTGGAACTTTCTCAGCATCCCAGACAACTTCTTGAAGGTTTCATCCAGGAAAGTGACGGTGGACTCGGTGTGAAGCCTAAGCTTAGCGAGCGCATGCCATTGGGCAAATCGATACAGTAGAGGTTGTATTATCGCATCGTGGTGTTTGGGAAACAGCCCTTCAAAGGCCGGAATGGCACACTAGAAAGGCGTCAACTAGCATAAGGCAGGAAATAAATAACCAGCAAACTTGTAAGATATCTTCTAAGTCGCGCGCTGCTAATCTCTTCATGTCAGAGGTATTATTTGAAAACTTGCGGATTACACCATTGCCAAAAGTCAGAATCTCTCGAAACCTATGGAAGTTTGGGAGTTGACTACTAGTTAGCAGATAACAAAGCTTCGTGTAAACTCTTCATACCTGCTGTCCAGGGCTGCCACCAACTGACTGCTGCCAGGGAGTACATAGAGCAACCTGATGAGGTGCATAAATAGCGCTTTCCAGGTGCCTAATTCACACTCATGCATGAAGTCGACCACCAGCATGCCAAATGCATCGAGGCCAAGCAGTCCGAGCTTTTTGACAAACTGATTCTACAGTATATCACATGTAGTCAATATAAAATGTAAGGAAGTAGTTGCACTCACGACAACAGGCACCCATGAGCCCTCACCAAGACTATGTTCTACCTTTGTACCGTCAACAGTACTTCCGTTACAGATAAACTCGCGAGCCTTTTCAACCTTCGCCAGAACATATACCTGAAAGTTTGTCATTCGGTTTTTCATGTCCCTCACGAGCCCAAGAGAATTGAACAATTTTTTCGGCGTGAGACACCGGGGGCAAGGGCACAATCCCATGTCCTTGATGGTGGCAATTAATACCCTGTGAATTGACAGCATTTCAGCATTCTTGAAGTGGGTGTGCGGAGGAACGTACTTTTCAGGGTAATCCGCGGAATATGTGAAGATCCGGGGAAAGACCCTTCGCAGTACTCCGTCAGCACATTTAAGAATGATGCCATGACGATATGCGTGAATGAAGTCTTCATCCAATAAGATTTCCCAGCAGGACTGAAACACCTCCCGGCGGCAGTGGGCTTGAAGAGACGCCATGCCAGTCTTCGATATGCGAGATAAATTACTCAAAATGTCTTTGACGCTATCAGGAAGCTGACATCATCAGCAGCAAAAGGTGACTACAGCGAACACATGAAAACTCACTGACGGAAAAAATCCTACTAGGTGGCATGCTCCCGATTGGGGTGATGACCTTGCGTATTTGGTTAGGTTTCCGAAATACAAGTACAGTGGCCAAGCCTTGGCGGTCCTGAAGTTTGCCAGATGAGTGGTGTCTGAAAAGAACATCAGACCAGCAATGACGCATTCCAGTGAACAACCGGGCTCCCTGGGTAGTTTCTGAATGTTGTCCTGAGCTTCCAGCCATGCATTGGAGGCATAGAGCTCGTCAAATACGCGTTCTTCGTGGCCATCCAAAGGATCTTTCCACAACCGTTTGAATGGGAGGAGATGAAACGCCGGAGCTTGAACATCTGCAAATGCAGCGTGTAATACTTCAACAAGTGGGCGATAGTGAAATCCAGGAATAGTATAGGGCTGAGGACCGTCCTCCTTTGATCTCGTTGGAATATTGATGGTAACACCGGTCTCGATCCAATCATCAGGAAAGGTAATCCTTTTCCCATGCTCATCTCTATCCAGCTCTTGCAAGCTTCGCTTCACGGAGAAATTCTCAAGGTGCTTGGGGTCAAAATCTTCTGCCAAGATTACATCCTTAACCAAGCGCAAGACTTTAGTTTCAGACAACAGAGCGCTCCCGGAATTCATCCAGGACATGAGTCGATGAATAGTCATATTAGGAAAGGGGTAAGGCACTGAAAAACCTTGTTGTTGAGAATCGGTTTCTTCAAGTTGGCTAACCGATGGGGACGTCCTTGAAAGCAATGAGGATGGTACGAATTTATCCGGCTCGAAGGAGGGACGACGAGGGTACAGTCTGCAGAGACCGAATGAGTTATAGGTGGTCTTAAGAGTGTCCCTGAGCGTCAGAAGAACGTGCTGAATTCTGGACCGAGTGGGTAACGAATTCGAGCTTTGAGCCGACGAGAGGTTGGTATTATCTGAGTGGTTAAGGTCATCGCGTGAGACGTCAATATCACAGAAAGCTCTCGGAATTCTCCTCATTGGTAGTCTAGTTTCCTCTGAAAAATGACAATTGATGAAGCAGTTGCAACTCAAAAGGGACACCAACCTATATCATAGTTTGAGGCGTTCGCTTCCTCATATTCCATCTGCGAGTCTGCAACGGCTGTAGACATGGGCCTAAAGAGCCTGCAAGGAGCAATTGGCTTCAAACTTGAGCGGTCTCTCACGCGTACATGTCGAATGGCAGATATTCCCTGAGGTCGACAATGACTGGAGGTTCAAATTTGAAGCAGAAGGACACCCACTGACGCGGCATTGCCTGAACGAGGCAGAACCAAGCTTGAGGAAATGGCCTCTTTCGCCCGTTCTTGTCTCCTATGGCTGGCTAGAGTGCTAGATTTCTTATAGAAACGGCACGTCGTGCGATGCCTGCTGAGTCCTCAGTTGTCAGTGGCCTGGCTTCCCCAAGAACAACCCAGTGCGCCACAAGACACCATTAGAAGAAAAAAGAATAAGCCAATCCAGAAACGTTCAAAAATGCGCATTGCACATTCAAGTTGATAATTGGATCATGTATAGTGAGACGGTCACTGACCAGGCCACATTATGTATTATAACAAACAAGTCACTCAGCGTGATGTGAAGGGCCAGGCAGTGACTGCGACTAGGCAAACACTACCATATCCGCTGAGTTCAGGATAAAATGAACTTTGAACGGGACTGCGAGCACGGAAAAGAATTCCAGCTGATGCCATCGACTCTCCCTGGTTTACCGTGATCACTTCCGAAAAGTAATGATAAGTTATTGATGTACTACTATGGGGTACATCTTGTACTATCATCATCGCTAAAGAATCGTGACCATGTCCTGGTCAATGGTAGTGAATGATGATGCAGTACTAATAAAGCTGCTCTTCTTCTTCTTCTGCTGCTGCAAGGGAAAATAGTGTTGTACATACTTGGAAAGGGGAATGATGGGATGTACATCGCTGACATGCATGATACCCAGGGTGGTCTGTTTGTACTGCCATTTGAACTACGATCACGATCAATATTGCAGAACACTGCAGTATATAACAGTCACCTCACCTTAGGCAACCATGATCATATTATTCCCCTCTCCTGTGATGGAATCCAAGTATTTATTGAAGCGATGCTCAACGTCTTCCGAATCCATGCCGACAGGGTCCTCCAAAGACAAATTTCGCTCAGCACCAATCTCTTCTAGATGATCAAGTTGCTTGTCCGCTATACTGTGTGCTGTGATGTCATGAGTATACGCAGTGATAGTGAAATCTGCATCATCTTCGAGCTGCTGGTGGGAACATTTGACCATCACTGATTCGAAAAAGGTTGCTTCTGCAAGACTATCAAGATAACGTTCTGCATTGTCCTTGAGAATCATTTGAAGGAGTACAGCATGTCTTTCAGTTGACTCAAGGTCCCACGCTGTTGCGAGAGTGTGCAAACGCTTGCTTTCAGCATCAGCTCGCTTTGCGATGGCAGCTGACTGGAGAGTCGTGTTTGACATGTACCGGATGCCTCTATTGAAGATTTCTTTGCCCTAGTATAATGACATGTCAATAACTGAATCTGTGGTACAAATGAGGCTAACATACCTGCTGGACATCTATCAGATTGATATCACCCTCATTGCGCTTCAGAATGTTTTTCATCAAGAAACGGTGCTCAAGGGCTGTAGGAACATGCTTGCCCAGCTGATAGGGCTTGAACCTTGAGCTAGCACATTTTGCATAGCATGACATATGATATATCACAGGTGGAAGGCATGCAACTCTGGGAGAGCTGGGGTCTATGGTTCTCATTCCCCTACTAGAGTTATCGCGACGACGCTGGATACTGAGCACTCTCTTTCAGGGATTGATCATCACTAGAGTTGAATATGTGAGAAGGAGGAACACCAGGTGAGGCCATCGTTGATAGTGGAGAGACGTTGCCACAGTGAGCATAAGGATCTTGGTGAATGTTGACTGTGTCCTCGTCTGATTTCGACACCTTTCAATGCTAGTGTGAGAATATAAGCGGACTTCTAAAACGACTGGCTCCCGCGGTGACTATAGTTAGTAATTCATCGAATTGCCCTTGAAGTGCAGGAAGCTGTGAATCACATACTTATAAAGTATCTGTGAAAGATCCGAGTTTGGTATTACCTGCACCATACCTTTGTCATTCATATGATCACACCGCAACTAGTATTAAGAACACTTACTATAGCTGGAAATGTTACCCTTACTACCTTTAGAAGTTTGCAAGGTCAGGTGTACCAGCTGCAGTACTTGGGAACGTTCAGCCACAGACTTACAAGGCAGGTCCGAACTGCGGCGTGAAATCCGCAGCTCAACGTTCAAACTCCAAACTTCTGAACCAAATTAGGGTGCCACATTGATGATATATTCTGAAAGGCCTGAATCATTATAAATTTTTGAATTATGAATTCGAACCTAGTGACAGAAAGTTTGTTTGCAGTTGGAAAACTATGTAATGTGTGGAAGTTTCAAATTGAGATATCGAACTTCATCAAGGGTGTGGCCATGGAGCGACTCGCTCGGAAACTTGACGAGCCCGGAGTATGAATATAACAAGTTCAGCAAGGAAGGTAATAAATAAATACAAACAAAAACAATGTGTCGGTGTGGGTGCCGCCGTGCCGGTGACTATCGAGATACACATACCTAATACTAGTAGGACCTTGATAGCCTTCTTCTTCTTGTCGAACACCTTCTTGGACTCCAGAATACTTTCATCTATTTCCCGAGAAACTCGCTGAGCCTCTTGCTGGCAGGGCAATGCAGTCTCGTCTCTCCTTGACGGACTCGTTGGGAGGTGGTTTGAATATGTTTGATCAGGCATCGTCTTGTACAGGCTTCAGGTTAACTGGAGAGAACATATCAAGAGAGGACCGAGAATGCGATTTCATTTGAGCCATGGAAGAAGAGAATGAAGAAAGAGCGAAGCAGTGCTGTTGAGTAGTACCGGCCTCTACCAATTTCTGTGGATACATCTCTGTGGCATGTCGGCTGATGTTTCTTGTGAGTCAGGGAAACCGATGAGGTGTTCTAGATATCAGGTATGCACTGGTGATGACGATCAAAATGTGAAACTAAATGGAGGCATTCTTTTCACTTACTTGACAATCGGCTTCAGTGATTGCGGATTTGTTGACAATGAGGCTATCAATGCTGCTGTTGCCTGAACGTAGTGATCTAGAAATTCGTTAGCAAACGCACGAGACCAATACCAGTCCTCAATAAAACTCACCCTCGTGTGATTCCCGGAATGCGTCATGGACAAGTTCAATGCAGGATTCCCTAGCCTTATCTCCAATACCACCGTGTGCGGAAGAACTCTTCACAATGTTCGATAATGCAAGGACAAAGCTAGCAGCAATCTCCTCCTCACTTGATCTCGCACCAGCGATGAGCTCCATAACAACAGGATCAACTCTTGGCTGGCTGTGCATGAGGATACCCAAAGCATCTGCTGCACGAGTTCGTACAATGGCAGAAGATGTGTTGCTAACTGCCTTCACAAACGTGCGCTGAAGCTGAGGGAAGAACAGTTTAACATGACCGGAAATTCTCTCAAGCATGGAGGCCAGTGCACTGAGGATGGCGGTCTTCACACCAAGAGGATGTGGTAGCTTGTGTTGCAACGCAGATGAGCGGCCCAGTGAATGACACCATGAAAGGTTTGATGGCAGACTCCTCCGTCCGTTCCACCAAGTCTCCGATAGCATACGCTGCATTCTCGCATTGTTCATTGCTGCCAATGGTGAGACCAGCAATAATGATAGGGACGGTGGGTGCGACTCCCTTTTGCAGACTGAAACCAGGAACATATCGGCCAGGTGCACCAGTGCTCTTGATCGTCCGGCGCAGGGGGACCACTGAGAGACTCCAGCTCATCCTTTGGCACTGACTTGACGAATACATCAAATGCCTGCCAAGCCGCAGTATGGACTGGAACCTCTTGGTCATCGAAGAGAGACACAAGTTGTCGGACCCAGTCAACACAGTATAACAACGAGTCTAGATCAGATTCCTCGCAGAACACTGCAAAGAGATTACAGGAGCTAATCCGCCGTTTCGGCGCATTACTCTTGGCCCTGATCCAGAAGACGATAAGTAAACATGCAAGCTTACAGAGCAGGAGAAACTGACCATCCAAGAAAGAGTAACATCAAGGTGTTCAAACCTTCTGGGTCTCTTATTGAGGCTAGAATTGCGCGCACAGCCTCATCAATAGCGTCCCGTAGTTCCTAATCTTGGGCTTCTTCCAAAACCTTCACTAATGCTCCAAGGATGACAATGAGGCGCTTGCTCAAGGCATGCCCAGCAACTGGTAACGAGAGACGCTAAAGCTCTAGCATTGAAAACCGTCATAGGTGTGGCAATCAAGGCCGGGATGAGAACAGGGAACACAGTAGACGCCCAGACCTTTAATTGGGTGAGTACATCCTTGTTCACAAACAAAAAGGACAATACATACCGACAGGACCTCCCTCAAGGCTTGAAGTGCAGTGTCTGAACTTGCACCAGGCTAGGCGTAAAGCCTCCAACAAAGTAGGGATCGTCTGGTCAATCGCTCTTACACCGAGATGCTCTTGGAGCACATCGAATGCCTTCGCAGCTGCCGAACGTACACTAGCGTCGTCATCCACTAGAGAGGCACGGACCATGTTAAGTATTTCGTTTTCATGGCCATCACGTTGTGCATCGGATGTGCTCTCGCTAAATGCCGTGAGACACTACGAAAGGGGAGAAAAGAAGTGTCCTTACATTACATTGCACAGCATAAGGCAAACATCTTCGTGAGTACAAATATCAGGAGAATGCGACTTGGTATGAAGAATTGAAAAATTTTTGCACCAGAACCTTCTTGCCAGACTTGCGGCTTAGCTCTGCCAGTGGTACGACTGGCAGTCTTGAAGAAAGAGATGAACGAAGAAATATTTAATCATGCCATGTAAACTTACCTCTTGCTGTTCGAACTCTTCGCTGGAATACATAATGATTGTTAACGACCGGTGGTAAAGTCATGTAAAAATATGCTGCAAAAAAGGACTCACCCTAATGCGCCAACCAGGCATCGAACATGCCTTGCTCAAGTTCAGGCAGGAGCAAGTCAATCGCCTTGGTGGAGTAATCAGGTTACAATCATCCGCCCTGCTCGCATAGCAGCTTCCCGAATGTACTCTTCCATGTCAGACAGTCCGCTCAATACTGGGGGATATGATTTTCGGTAAATGTGGTTGGGATCGAGCGCCTGAAGGTAGCCGGTAGATATACGAGGAGAGACATGAAACCTTCCCTGACGGTACTCCGAGGGGACTGTGCATTTGCAATAATGTCAGGGAGAAGGCCTTCAAGTCATTCCATGCCAAGTCCGGAAAGCACTTCGCTGAGACCCTGAGCCGCACCTTGTCGATCAACACCAGAGGTGTCGGTCTTGAGGGTTCTCAAAAGTCCAGGGACAACGTCAGGGAAGTGGGCTTCTCCGAGACGTTCAACGAGCGTCCCGAGCGCCTTTGCAGCAGTCGCACGCATGCTTCTGGCACGGGATCAACCAGAACGACATGCACCAACGGTAAGAGCTGAAGACAAGTACGGCACAAAATCCTTGGAATCTGTTCAAGATGCGAGATTGCCAACAATCTGGGTGGCTCTCTTCTTGCCCTCCGTCCCTCGTTCCCGTAATCCACGCTCGATAATGGGAATGACCTGTGACATATAAGCTTTGAAAACAGCAATTTGAAGCAGCAGCTCACCAGCACCAGAGAAGAGTGATCAATATAGTGCATAAATAATGTCTTCAGGAGGGCTGACAAAGTGTTTGTCATCTTCGCAGGATCCACAAGTGCTTTCAGTAGCGTCGGAACAAGAGCCTGTATCTCAGGGTTATTGATCACTTCTCCAAACTGTTTTAGACTCTTGTTGGCCGCAGTTTTGACCTGAGCATGGGTATCCGTCAGAACGCCAGTAAGGCGCGGAATGATGATGGGCAGTGATAGTGATAGTTGTCGGGGCGAGCAGTAAGCCATCATGCCCATCAATTCGATGGAACTCTTTTTAGATCTCCACTGTTTCTCATCCAAATCAGACAATAATGAAGGGAGAATGAGCTTAACGCCATACCCGGACATATTACCCATTATTACCCTCACTGCATCCTGAGCAGCCTCGTGTACGTCTGCTGTTGTGTCACCGAATACGGTCAACAGAACGGGGAGGATATTTGTGATGTATGGCTCGAATAGTCGGCCAAGCGTGTTCGACAAAGTTTCAAATGCAAACATTGCGCCTTGACGCGTTTCAAACCTCAGGAGCTGTCCAGAGGCGGTTGATGGCATCATATTCTTTCATGGCGCCTATTCCCAAACCCTTGATGGTACCTGCAAGACCATAGGCAGCTCCCCGTCGACTGGCATATTTCGATCCATCGAAAAGTTCCTCAAATAAGTGATCAATGAGCGTGCGAACACCCGGGCCCATGAGTTTGACTAGGGGGACAAGACAGTCGGAAACAGCTATTTGAACTTGTTCCGCCGGAGTTTTGAGAGCTTCGACCAGTCGGTCGACAATGCTGGGAATGCGTGTATCCGAAGCGTCGAGATGCCTGGCAACGCGTCCGAACAGAATGACAACGGCTTCCTTGATTTGATCCCCAGTTTCATTCGCAGCACTCGGGCCACCTAGATGTTCTTCAAAAGTCGAGAGTAGCCCCACAAGCCGCTTTGAGCCATGGATATCGATCACAGCAGTTCCAGCCCGAAGCGTTCTGCGGCGCACGTCCGATGACCTGTCACCAAATGCTTCGTCCTTAATCAAGAATACGAAGAACGGTTTAACCTGGTCCTCTGTGAATGACGGAGCCAAGTGCTCAAATGCAAGGGCCACTGCCACCCGGGTAGCCTATGGATCGGAGTGATCGAGGCTAGAAGCAATAACCATGCCCTGGGCATCAAGTGAGGATCATAACCGGAAAGTTTAATATGGCACTAACGTATTGGTCGAACTCAGGTGCAAGAATTTTAGCCTTCAGACTGATTAGAGCCAAGCACATAAAGAAGAATGAGGAATCATACCTTTTCCCGGTAGAAGTCTTGTAGAGCAGCTATGGTCAGTGCACTCTTTCGAGGCCAATGAATTACAGCCTCCACGATGGCCGATGGCGTGCTGGTTCGAACGTACGCATTGATGTGCTCTAATAGACACATTAGAATTTAAGTATAGAAACATGAACTACATACCGAGATAGCTCATGAGCTTGTCAACGAAGTCTTCTGGCACATCCAAGCCATTATCCTCCCACGCGTGATTAGCAAGACGGGCATTCTGCTCGTCATCGTCATGGCAGGCTATCCAAAGTTGCGGAGACCAATCAAGATCGGTCAAATCGAATGGCTACGAAAACGATGAACAAAAGTGACGCAAACTGCAAGAAAATGATACTGACCTGGATGGCTTGCAGACAAGCGTTCCTGACGTAGACCTCTTGCAATAGTGTACCATCAATGAGCACACCGACCTCATCACGGGTCGCATTCGACTGCACAGCCTCCCCGAGGTCAATGAGAACAGATGACGCTTCCTTGCTAAGTTGCGGCTGAGGTCTACCAAAATTAGTATATAGCATGTCGATGCATTCCGAGGGCGTACTAGTAATGTCACACATTTGGTGATCGCTAAAAACAGTCTTGCCACCAGTGTAACAAGTCATGTCTGTGAGATGCAGGTGAATGCTGGAAGAAATAAGGTGGACTCAAGTACGGACCTATTACGACTTGTGCGCTGGTGGAGATGGTGGCTCGCGAGTCCATGTTACTGGATTTTGAAAAAAATTAAGTCAGTGAGTCTGAGTGGTGCCGGCCGCTTGAAGTTTATCCAAAAAAGGCAAACATTCTAACTCAGCTCCATTTGCCACTACTATACAGACTCTATACAGCCGCGACGAGCACTAGCACCAGTAAAGATCAAGTACTACTACATACCATGGATCAGAACGTTTTTTTTAACCTACAACATAACGATCAGTACAATTTTCAAGCGCAAGGGCCAGCGGTAAGTATTTCCTTGAAGGTCTGCCTAGTAGAAGTTGCCTGACTGTACCGGACTCACCCACCAGCAACTACCACTGGATCATATCATCCCAGAACCGTTGCCAATCGTCCCAGAACCGCTGATCGCCCCACAACCATTGATCGCCCCAGAACCGTTAAACGTCCCAGGACCGTTAATCATCAGTGACTCGGCGATCGTATGTGGCACCTACTACTATAGATACCATTCCAGTACTAACAGATTTTAGGCGATATGGAACAATATGACACGAACGGCTCAAGACCGAATTCACAATAACCGTTCTGCATTGCAGCGCGAGCCGATTACAATTACGGACAAAGACAAGTGCTGGCTGACTTTAATGGCGTTACGGAGGGAGCAGGAGTTGGAGGACGCTGAAGGTACAACGATTCAGATGGTGAGTCTGAACAATGTTGGGTCTTGCAGAACCTAGCTGCTATTCGACCCTAAAGGGTTTCTGGACCAGGCTCAAGGCTCAGAGAAGAGGAAATATGATAGAAACTTGCTGAATACTCAGACTCATAGTAGAACTGGTGAAAAGGTAACTTGATTATGTAAGCTACAAAAGTGCAAACATAACACTAAGGTAAAAACAGTCTCTGCAAGCCCAGCCAGAAATGAATCCCTACATCTCATGGGAACTTTGAATCATGACTGTCCCCAGTCATCTACCTATGCAAACCAAAGCTAAGCTAAACTAAGAAAACTAACCTGGGGGTCCTCAAACACCTTTTGTTTCCTTGACACGTATGCCAGGTAAACTGCGCCAGTGAGTGAGGGTCAGGCAATGCAATAAAACGATAATCTCCAGACTTTGCTTTGAGTACTGGAGGAGCAGCGACGATAAAGTGATAAAAAACGCGATGATGGTTGCATGGGTGACGATGGGGAGTAGACGGATAGAAAGAGGCGAACGAGGGCTTCGAAATGAGTATAGGGTCGACTAGGATTGGTGGAGAACTGGGTGAGAAATGAAGGAAATGGTGGAAAATGGAGGGAAACGCGAGAAGTGCGGATTGCGGAGGAACGCGCAGACGTATCTGGAAGCGGAGCGGACGGATGGAAAGCGGCGGCGAATGCGGTCAGAACGAGTATAGGGTTAATAGGTGCGCGATCGAGGGGCGAGGAGATATAGATAAAATGGTGTAAATGTGCGATAAAATAGAGGGGCGGCGGAAAACGCGAATGGTGGGCGAACGACGGAGCGGATCGGGGCGGCGATGGGCGCGAATGAAAGCCATGAATGAGGGCTTCAAAACGGGTATAGGGTCGATGGGGTTCCGAGGCAAAATGGGCTGGTGAAAGTGCGAAAAAGTGCGGAGGTGCAAGAGGGAGGAGGAGGAAGGGGTATGGTGCAGGGCAACAAGAGCTGGTCCTATCAAGAAGCAGATTGGGGCAATGGACAGAGCCACTGAAGGATGGTAAATGGCCAAAAGAGCTAAAAGACACAGGCCTTTGAGCACCCAGAAAACCCTTATCTCCCCTCAACTTCTCAAAAACACCAAAAACTCGATAACTCCACAACTACTGCTCCAAATTCGATGAGCGAGGGCTCAAAATGACCGGACGGACGTGGGGAATACGACCCTAAGTTTGCGAGAGATCCGCTCGAAAAACGCGTGAGAAAAACGCTTATCAATGCGCTGGGGAGGAGGACAAGATGCTGAAAACTTGGGAATATGGGAGAAGCTGATAAGGAATGACTGTGGTAGGATAATAGGCGAATTTGGGGGATGATTGGAGAGCTGGAAGAGCCTAGAAACACAAGAAACCCTCGCGATGGGCTCCAGTTGAAGGTACAACAATTCAGATGGTGAGTCTGAACAATGTTGGGTCTTGCAGAACCTAGCTGCTATGCGACCCTAAAGGGTTTCTGGACCAGGCTCAAGGCTCAGAGAAGAGGAAATATGATAGAAACTTGCTGAATACTCAGACTCATAGTAGAACTGGTGAAAAGGTAACTTGATTATGTAAGCTACAAAGTGCCAACATAAGGTAAGGTAAAGACAGTCTCTCCAAGCCTAGCCAGAAATGAATCCCTATAACGCTATGAGATATGTCGAGACTTCCTGGCGGGAGTTGAACGAGATCAGGAGACTGTTGGGAATACGAAGGAATTAGTAGATTGTCATGGTGAATGAGTGGATGACGGACACTTTCATGTTTATTCCAACGTTGCTGCTTGGGCATGTGGTGGTGGGCTATGTTTCCCCTTCGTCTTCAGGTTCCATTTTCAGAGATATCGTCTATTGAAAGTGAGCTTAACCAAAGTCCTGGGTTTCGGTGTCAAGGCGTGCATGTGATCGTTCAGGAAGAGGATTAAACAATGCTTGCTGTGAGGAGTGACGGTGGGGATTGGACCACAGATGTCGGAATGAACAAGGTCGAGAAAGCGAGATGCATGTTCTGATCCGGACAGGTGAAAATTGTGCGGGTGCTTGGCGATAATGCAAAATTCGCAATGGGATAACAGTGTCGCAGATTCGATGGTGACCCCCTTAGCGACACAAGTGAGGCGCATGACGCCGTCTTTGCCGAGGTAGCACAAGACATGTCGCCATGCAAGGACATATTGCTGGTGCCAAGGGAATGTGGGTTCTGCACCCAGATCACATGCATCAGATCATCGATGGACCACTGAAAATTTGGATACGTGACTCACATAATAAGATCAATCTTGGCTCGCTACACAATGTTCTAGAATGTCAGCGATCGATGCGAATGGCATGTCAGCCAGGAGGCTGTTGAGTCCAGTGACTGCAGCTGTACTGGGAGGGAGCACAGGAGCGAGAGTGGGTGTAGGCACTGGCATGGTGGGGAGGCCTTCATTGAATCATCAGTGTTGTTTCGTGTGGGTTATGCAGACCTAGGGGTGCAGGGACAGATTTCGAGAATCCCTGCTTATGATCAGCCCACGACCTAATCCCAAGAGAAGAACTTACTGTTCCCATATGTAAATGTTTTCACTATGACAGCTCGCCGTGGCATACGTACGCTTTTGTCGGCAAGTGCCAACTATAAGGTCCACGGCGTCTGAGACGCGATCGCGGAAGAGGATGTCCTTGGCCGAGTCTTCGTGGTATGCTATGAGTGTACACCAGTCAGAAAGAATGAAGCAAGACGTCACCTTTATGAGGTTCTCCATTGGAGGGCTTCTCTACTTGGACAGCATGTTCTTACGCACAGCAGAATATCTGTAGAACATAGATCACATGCCACATACCTTCAAGTTGCGGGCAAGAGCAGGGACGAGACTCTGCTACTTGGGGGTAATCCAATCAAGCGCACCGCCTTTGAGACTTTTGATACCATTAGCCCTTGCTTCAGGTGTAACTTTTAGCGTGCTACAATACTGAGATAAACGCTTAACTTGAGGACGTAGAAGGGAGATACTTGCCAGCTCTACAATGAGGTTAGCTTCATCATCTCCACCATGCACCAGCTGCTCTACCTGGGGATAATCAATCAAGCACACCGCCTTTGAGACTTGTAATAACATTACCCCTTGCTTCAGGTGTACTTTTTAGTGTGCTACAATACTGAGATGAACGCTCAACTCGAGGATGTAGGAGAAAGGTGCTTGCCTGCAATGAGGTTAACCTTGTCATCTCCACCATGTACCAGCTGCTCTTGAGAAAGACCATGATCATGCCATTCCATTGGAAGATACACATGATTATACTGATGTCTTTGCCAACTCTCCCATCCATAAAATCATATTGGTGAAAAGTGCTTGCCACTGGCACGGTGCTGTGGTGGTTGAAGTTGGGGATTGTTGCTCCACCATATGACAGGTACAATGAATGTGAACTAGGATGAAAATCAGCTCTCACTGTAACCCTGAGGGCACAGTCAACCATGATTATCAAAAGATGAACTAGTATGGCAAGGACTAGCATGGAGGCACTGCGATTGTTATCAAGGTTTGGAGTCCGCCTCCTTTGAATTTCAATCCGGAATCTTCCGATAAAACGCCCAGAGTAGTACTACTAGAAATTCTAAAATAATCTGAGATACACAAAGAATGCATATTTAAATTATTTAAGACCGTTAGTGAGCATGAAAATTTTCCTTATCGTCAGCTCGTGCCCTGTATTTCCCTTTCGCCTTCCTTCTCACCTTCGCACGTCCATCCTTCATGTGAGTTTTAGAAATACAAGTGTGAAATGTAAATGCGGCGCCCTCCAACATACCAACCTTTTCTACATAAAATCTACTATTAAAATGTGTTGTGGTGGGCAGATAAAATATACCATGCTTCTTCAGCGTGTTCGTGTATTGCGGCAAGTTCATATCAGGGTAGCGAGAATGGATCTTCGCAAGGACTTCATCGATGCCTTGCAGTGGTTCTTCATCATCGGTGTCTTCGTCACTCTCCAAGTAGAGTGCATACGTCTTCTTGAGGGGTCGAGGAGCTGTGGAGTTGTCACGTTGCTGTTCAGAAAGTACACCATTAGACTCGGAAGCCCACGTGTCGTTGATCGCAGATGGGAGATGAACATGATTGTGGATTATGGGTGATATGAGCTCGGTTGGCACACACTGAAGGGACACGGTTCCTTCCTTACTACGTGAGATACGAACTTCTTCATGGTCGTCAAACTGGGATGTACTAAGTAGATGGTTCTGCTCGCCTGCAGAACGCGTAGTACCTGCATGTTGCTTTGCTGTCCCTTTTAATACAGGCATCTGCTGCAACAAGTACTTTTATATCGTGCGAGAAACTTATGATTAGCAAGGCACGTACAGTATTTACAACTTCAATTGCAACATTTTTCTTGTGCCGTCCAGAGAGCTGTTCCGCTCTCGCAGCTTTGAAAGCGCTCTTGATATCTTGGGCCGTCAAGAGTCTATGCGGCGGGCTGTAGATAAGCACCAGCCTAAATGCTCGTAGGTCTTTGGAAGATCCATCGCAGCCCTCATAGAATCGAACATATCTAGGGGACTCAGGTCTGACTCAGCGTAAAAATGGTCGACGTATGTCGTAGATTTGTTTGTATTGGCGGTGTTCAAAGGGATCCGAAATTCGACTAGTAGTAAGTTGATGTGAGTATTCGAAATCGCCATTGAAAACGAACAAACAATTACCTTTCTCAAGAGATTCCTGGTTTGTCAGTTGCCCTTCCGGCGCCTCTGACTCGTACCACGACTGAATGGCACGAGTGCGATTTATCTCTTCCTCGTCGACATTGGGCAGTCCTTTACGTGCACCAAGGAGATACGCAGTAGTTTGAATATGAGAAGAGCGCCGGCAAGTCACAGATGGAATAGAATCGACATGATTATTCTGAGTACAAGTAATGGGAGACATTGTGCACTAAGGATAGGCAGTGTAGACTGTAACTTCGCCCACCCGACCTTTATATCAAAGTTCTAGTTCAGTTCGTCAGTATCATTACAGTTCAATGGAAAGTCCGCGTATGATTACCTGAAATGATCTAGTGCCTTGTCGATCACTCGATTTCCGTGTTTGGTACTAGACGTAGAAGCTTTGAAGTCTCAGTAGCTCCGTAGTGCATCTGCCGGAATAGTACGTACTCACTTAGTAAACACCCTAGTCACCGAACCAAATGCTTTAGTATTTCCTAAAAGCGAACCTGGGATCATGAGACTACAAGTACAATGTGACTACCACTGTCACCGTATGCAGTAAGAATTGGGGGAACAATTTAAACCTAAAGATATTAAAAGGTAATGAGCGAAGCTTGAGTCAATGCAGAATTGCTAGTCAAATGTAAGATAAGGGTAGCAATCACCTCAGCGCTCATATTGTTGAACATGTTCAGGTACTTGGTGTTTTTGCGCATGTTTTCTTCTGGCAAAAACTTGCTTTTGACAAAGTAACCTGTCTCATATTGTGCAGTACCCACTCGCAGACCGCAGTGGCCATGGCGAGTATTGGTCCGTACTTGCCATTGGAGATGTACTTGTGATATCGATGGGGGCTGTCGTGCAATAAGTATCAGTCATTCGGATTAA